TTTTCATGAGTTTGTCGATCCATTTAATGTAAATTTGACAGACAGGGGAAACAGGTGGTAAGGTAAAAAAATGGGAAAAGACAAATACCCACCCCATTGTTTTTTTTTTTACTTATGGTCTATCAATACTTCAAGGACAATTATACCACAGCTTACTTGACAAAAAGCTAACAACTTATTTGTTGGCCTGAACAGAAAATAGACAGTGGCTTTTACTATATAAGGATCTAAACTTCTACTGCAAGATCCTGATATGTAAAATTAAATAAATGGCACAGTTGTATGTGCTTTAACAACGTGCCAATCTGCTGTTCCAACTATCCAGCCAAGATTTGACCAAAAACTGTAAGGAATTTAAGATAGATATTTAAAGAATAAAAAATTAAAACGAAACCTCGAAAATGGCTGAACAAAATAATTTTTCCAATGCATATAGAATGACAAGATTTATGCCATAAATACATAGATTGAGAGAGATTGATCAAAAGGTTAGTTTCTATTGAAAGAAAATGGTCTACAAATATTAGGTAAACAGCACTGAATATTTTCAAAAGATTTTTTTCCATTTAATGTAAAATTAGTTTTATCTAATCCGATATTTTACATTTTATCATAAAATGTATTTTATTTTGATAAAAAAAATGCCGAGAAAATTTTTATGAAAAAATCTCCTTTAAAATAAGAAAACAAATTTGATGATGGATTTAATGATTTGAGATCATTTAGCCACGTCATTGGACAAAGCCAACATACTTATTTGCGACCAGCAAAGGATTCAGGACCAACTTGCGCATCCGCAGTCTGATCAGGATCTATGCTGTTCGCTTACAAACCCTATAACAAGTAGAGAAACTGATAGCGAACAGCATGGATCCTGATCAGACTGCGCGGATGCGCAGGCTGGTCTGGTTCCATGCCTGGTCGCAAAACGCAGCTATGTTGTTTTTTCGTGACGCGGCTCATATGTTTAAAGGAAGTCAATAAATATCATTTACCAACACTTTCAGCTTCATATGGCACTGACTTTATATTCAGCATAGCTGATTTACCATACTACAGAATATACCCATCCGAGGATCCAGATATAAGTTTACATATAAACAAGCAAAAGATCAACTTATTTCGACATGACCCTACCATCTCTTGCAACTGCCAGTAAGACGCCAATCTATTTCACTACAAGATACCGACTGTACCATACTGGTGTATATAGTCTTAACTCGACATTCATAAACAGGTACAGCGACGTTAATTCAAGAAGTTCCATCAGAATACATGCCGATTATCCGATCTCAGTATCGGTAGTGTATTCTTACAATAAAAACTCACCCTCTTATGATTTAAATAACCACATATTGCCGGTTAACATCCTTTCAACCTCCTATGTGATACCGTCCTATTCAAGCAATAGCCAAAATCAACTCCTTGTTGTTGCACTTAATGAATCGACGACAATACATATCAAACATTATGGAATATCTAAATACGAGAGCCTGCACGCAAATGAAACATTTATTTATCAATCATCGTCCGATATAAGTGGTGCATCAATCACAAGCAACCGCCCTGTTGCAGTGTTTTCATCCATGCCATCAGGATACAATTATCATTCAAGCACATACAAATCACGTAATCTTTTAATGCAAGTGCCACCAATTACTCAAGGAAGCTTTCATTTTATCGTTCCGGCCTTGCCTTCGTTGGTCAAAAATTACAAGGTTCGTATATACTCTACGCACACCGGTGCTTTGGTTGATATTCACTCCTCGTCAGAAAGTGTGAGACATATGCATGTCTATGAAAACATATACTATGAATATAGTACAAAAGGCTCGAGTGCACTAGAAATATTTTCCGATAGCCCAATTATGGTCGTACAGATTGCAGAGAACTCTTATGGTGCAGCGATGTTTATGACCAACATTCCGGCCGTGTCACAGTATATGACGTCATACTTAACATTCTCTACTCATTCCCATTACGTTGTCATAGTGAGGTACGAAGAAGCCCTGGGCTTGTTAGTTGACGGATCGCCACTACTACACAATCCAGAAGTGGTAGTTTTACTTTTTACTCTACCAAAATAATAAAAATTTATACATGAACCTAATTAAATTTGTCACTATGACGTATTTCATTTTTTCTTTTACCTAAGATATCTTATCTTATCAGGTAAATAATTTTGCTGACAATCTACTCGTTTGGAATGTAACTATTTAACTGGTTATAAAGCATTATTTAACTGATTACTACATACGTGTAATATCATTACCTTAATAATAATAAAATGATACCGTAGAAAATTATGATTTGACATCAGTTATCATTACTTTTGCAATTATAGGTTGCACACAGTACACCGATGGGAAATTTCACGTTATTCACGATACCGAGTACATCATCAAATGACGTCGTGTCACATATAAGCAATGAACCATTTGGTTTGTTTGTCTTCAACCAAGGAAGCATAACTAGCTATTCAGCAGGCATGAACTTCGATATAGGTTTGTCAATACTAGTTTCTTACAATGAAGATTTATTTTTCAAATATTGAGATATCGCTTTGCTGTTTCGACTAAGCCATATTGACATATTGCCAATGACAGTTGGCCTATTTTGTAATTGTATAAATAATCATCTGTTTTTCTTGTAGCAATAATTTCTTCTATTAATTTTACAATATTTGGCTTTCTTTAACCAAATTTATCTAATAATATTTTTTTGTAAAACAAATATTTCAGTTTAAACATGAAAACGACTGTTTTACTTTTATGATACAATCAGGCCAGTATCAAAACTGGCAATGTTTGTTAGAATATAGATTATTTTTCACATTCATTCAAAACATGATTATCAAACTTTGAACATGAAAAGTTAGACACACGGACATAAATTTCGATATGATTTCTTTTTCATAAGATAAAAGCTTGTTTAGATAAAGGCGTAAAATGAACTTTTACATACATTTCAAGTGGTTAGACTATCACATTTTTTATCCATTTTTTTCAAACCCATTTAGTCGCGTCTAATGATCTTATGATCACGCTGAGATAAACAGTTTTGACGCCTCAACCTTCAGTCATACGTGGATATAGTACATGTATAACAAAATAGAGAAAATAAGAATCCCTTAAGAAAGCCCAACACGGCAAAATTGAAAATGTTGCTGGCTCGGTTTGATTGAGCCTGTTCATGGACGGTACTGGAAAGTGCAAGTTACCGTCCACGCCCACTAGCACCGTCCTAATTTAATATGAACTGGTTAAATTTTGAATCTTGAACCATGTTGATGTGTTCATATGGCGATTACCATTGAACTTTCAATGTGACACGTTAAACATACCATTAGGTTAACATCAGCGACTTTTCTTTTAGCATTCCTTGATGTGATATGTAGAAGGTCACGTTACATGGTGGTGAAAAGTTGTAAAAAAAAAAATGTTGAGAATATTTTTGATATTTAAAGTAATTTTGCGATTCAAATTGAGCAATTCAGTTTTGTAATTAAGAGATACTATGATTTGTGCTGCTGTAGGCGGATATACGAGGGTTGTCCCAAAAGTCCGTGACAAATTTTATAGCCGGTTCGTTTTTAATGCCAATAGAAAATAATTCACACATATAACCGTTAAGTTTATTATTTAACATTACAACAAATCATTTACAAAATATTTACCCTAGTTACTTAGAAATTTTCAGTAATAACGACATTGGTTTGAGTTGCCGGCGCACGTCAAATAATTTACATTTTGTTATGAATAGGCTGAAATTAATTACGTATATTAAAAATATCTGATGATGTGTCTGCACATTGTCACGTTGACTTCCTCTGCTGCTATGTTTAAATCATCTCTGAAAATTTTAGTTAAATAACTTAAAAAACGAAAAAGATACGAATAAATGAAAATATCTAATATAAAATAGGAAAGTTAAAATGGCGACGTTCGAAGAATTTGCGGCGCAGTGAACAGGTCGTTCAGGTTTCATGACTATTTCGAGATGACACATGGAACGATTTTCAACAAACATACCAGATATAACAGTTTAGCAACATATCTGAGCATTTGTGTACAAAAGGCATGAACGGAACCAGAGTTTTGCGCTACAAAATGCGAAAATAAGGAAAACACGGATAGGAAGACCGATCTTCGTTGCCTATTTCCTACAGCTAAAAACAGGAGTAACGAGACCGGAAGTTCGCGTATAGCAAAAATTAATGTATGCCATCCAAACATTCAACAGACATTAACAACCACATGATTTAAGTCAGAAATTGACGATTTATGGGTACCATTATTGCGTTGAAAGCCATTGAGAGTATTTGAGAAAGGCGCCTTATATAGATTTAACGCCGTCTTTGATGATGGACGTGCGCCGCGATCCAGTTAGTTGCCATGGTGTTTATGGCATATTTTTGATATTTGTTGATATTTATCGATGAAAATTTGTGAAAATGTTTAACTTATATGGGTTTATAACATATCAAAATATCAAATTCGTACCTGTTTTATTTAGCTTTTAATTAATCTTGTCACAGAATATTGGGACAACCCTCGTAATTAATAAATTTGGAGTAATATGGTGAGAAAATAGTAAAATCACTAGTTTTCGTGCGAAACCCTTTGTTCTTTTGTTCGTCGAATTGTGATAATGGCGGCCAATGTTGACACACAAAATATGTTTAGCCAACTTGCAAACGATCTAGAAGATGGAGATGTTATTGAAACGGACGATTGCGAAGGTTTTTGTACAGTTGATAGATATGGAAAGAGGAAGAGGGGCCCTAGTGACGCTAATTTACCTGATGAAACAAACAATACAATTATGAAATATATGGAAAGTAAGATGACTTTATTGTTTAGTGAAATTAAATCATTGAAAACAAATCAAGATAATAGTAAAGCCAAAATTGAAACTATTCTGCGAACTACCAACAACCAGATTGAACGAATGGCTAAATTACAGATCAGTATATTGATTCTTTGAAAATCCTTACTTACAAACAGATAGATCTAGAGGCTCGTTCCCGTCGTAACAATCTAATATTCACCGGGTTTTGCTCTGGAAGTCGTGATAGTTGTTCTGATATAGTCTGTAGATTCCTGGAAGAGCAACTCGAATTAGACACATCTACGATGCTCCCAATTGAACGTTCGCATTGGTTAGGCACACCACAGGGTCGTTATGTTCGTCGATCTATTATTGTATGTTTTGGAAGCTATGCTGATGATCAGTATGTTATGAACAATGTTTACAAATGTAAAAATTCACCACACGCGATTCACAGAGACTTCCCATTAGAAATTGTTGAATCCCGTAAACGATTATGGAAAAGTTAAAAAGACGCTTTGAAAACCCCTCAAACTCGTGCTTCCATTGTATATCCGGCAAAGCTGATTGTGAATGGTCAAGTGGTGGCTGATGAGTTCCTACAGTGGAATGATATAGTGCACATGAAACGGAACCTGTCTTTTGAACACATACGTCCAAGAAATAACGTTGTTGTAAATAATTTTCCAGTACATGATACGTATAGTGACTCTTCTCAAAGTGTACGTACTGGTGAAAATATTTCAACATCCGATCCCAGTACAATACAATCTTTACACACAACGCATGCACATACATACGCTGATGCTGTAACAAAGTCCAATGCTCATGTTTTGGGTCCTCTGCCCTCCTCGCAAACTGCAGTACAACCAAAAGCTGTAAAGCCTGTCAATTTGTCTGCAACACAGAATGTTTCAGGAAATGGACCTGTGATAGCCTCAACTTCAAATCCAGATACTCTCTCCAGGAATGTTAATCCACATGTACGTCCATTTACACAACAGTCCATATATGTTTCAAATGCACCAGTGAACACTCCTGGGCGTACTAACACATCTTCGGTTGCTACAGGCAACGCACGGGAGTCACGACAAAGTAGTAAAACAAATAACACACTACGTAGTACAAATAGATCTACTTCACGCCATCAGCGTGACTTTCGTGCAAACCGTGATTCAACTAGTGACACACATTCTACCAGCGAATCGTCGCAAACTCCACAGGGCCGTGTTTCGAGTTAGGATAACGGGTAGAAGACTTTTTTAAATGTTACACTATTAAATATACAGGGATTGATCACTAAAAACTGTAACAAACTTAAATCTACAGAATTAAAAAGCGTTTTTGACAAATCTGATATAGTGTGTTTGACTGAAACTTGGGGAAATAATCTACTTGACTTTAAATTTAATGGTTTTGAATGTTTTTTCGTAAATAGAGTTGAAATAAAAACTAATACAAAACGTTCCTCTGGTGATGTAGCAATCTTTAAAGATAAGTTCGTTGATGAGTATACTTTGGTCTGTACATCATGTGATGATATAATTTGGGTACAGATAAATGGTAAAATATTACAGTTAGACAGTAATCTATATATAGGTGTATGCTACGTGCTGCCTGAGGGAACAAGCAGGCAAAATATGGTGGAAGTTGAATTCAAGATTAGAAGAGTCATCTAGAGCATTATATTATAAAAATATCTCAGCTTTTAGTTTCCACCCTTATCTTAATTTTATAAAAACTAAAAATGTGCGACATGCACTTACTAGATTACGTTTGTCTTCTCATAGACTTGAAATAGAAACTGGTAGATGGTCTAGACATAGAGTTGATATAAATAATAGATTGTGTAGACACTGTTATGTGCTTGAAGATGAATATCATTTTGTATTATGTTGCTCTAAATATAATGTTCTGAGAAAAAGATTAATACCACAATATTATGTAATTAAACCCAGTATGTTCAAATTCATAGGATTGTTGAAATGCCAAAATGAACATGTTATATTTAATTTAGGACTATATATTTATAAAGCATTCAAAATCAGAAATGAAGCTTTGTATCAAAATTAATCGTATGTCTTCTCCCAATACATAGAGGATATTTGTTTGTTTGTGTGTAAGATGAAATTTTATTTCATCGAGTGAGCTTTAAAAACAGTATTCTCACGAGTGGCGTAGCCACGAGTGAGAATACTGTTTTTAAAGTTCACGAGATGAAATAAAATTACATCTTACACAACAAACAGACAAATTTTCTTTTTATTTTATGCTTAAAAACAAGTTAAAACGAAATTTCCATAATTTTAACGTTAATATGAAAATCTGTTTCCCCCATTGAGAGCCCCATTTAGACGGAATTTCTCATTTAAAACAAGAAGTCTTGAGCTGAAAAATAAGTCCGCCAATCAAGGTTAAATGACGGTGATATTTATTCATTTTATTAAAAAAATATGAATGATCGCTTGTTTTAATAATAAAAACAAACAATTCTTGCAGGAGAAAGTTCCAACCATCCATCCATATTTCTGTTACTTACTGCGAATTTATATTAGACCTGGCTTTCTAAAATGTAAACAGCAGCCATTTTTTAAAGTTGTGTATTTCATGGGAGGAAAATAATTGTGTAAGATTCAGAAGGATATAATTTGGATTTGTTAGTCATACACCTTTTTAAAAGAAAGAAAACTTATTTGAGGATTGTAACAGACAAAAAATAAGTGTTGACAGAAGTGAAAACATTCAGAAAAGGAGCTAGGAAAATGGAAAACTTGGAAGCTTGCTGAAGGAACGCTGGGATGTTTTACTTATTTTACGAGTGATGGCTGTCAATGCTTTTCAATTTTTCATAAAGCATACGGCAGTTATTGCTCGTAGGATACTTGAATATGCCCAAATGTCATCAAGAGCCCGTTTTGCATGGGGAAGGAATGTATTTTCAGACTGTAAAAACGAATCAAAAAAAAAATTAGAGACGAAATTTGGTGATTGGAATTTGAAGGAATAGAAGTAAGTTTTCTCTCTGTGTTACTTTTGACAATTAAGTTATTTATCTATTTCAGCTTTGCCATTTCTTTTAACAGCCTGACATTGTCAGAATTGTCCGTAAAAATAAAACTGAGGTACCACATGGGGGAAATCTTAAAAAAGTAGTTTCGTCATTGAAAAAAGTGAAATTATATTTGATAATTTTCACTGTGAAATTATCAAATATAATTTTCACGGATAAATCAGTAATCCACTGAAAAGCATAAAATAAATTACGATATATACAGACATACATTTTGCAGTAGTTTTCAAGTCCCTGTGTGTTTATCCTCTTTTCTTTAAAAATGTATAGTCCTTTGCAAATAAGTATATCTTTTAAAATGTATAGTCTGTTTCAAGGCTTATTTGTGTTTGAGTATGTTAATTTTGTATGCAATATATAGTTAACAATTGATGTCATGTGACCTATGTAATTGTATATATTGTAAATATGTTGCCTCATGGACCAGTCTGGTCTACTGGCTTTGTGAAATAAAGATAATATGTAGATTTTAATACGATTTATTGATAGCTGACATTTAATTCACTGCTTACAACTCATATATTTATAAAACCAGATTGCGTTCAACCGACGTCAGCAAGTCAGATCATAGGTAAGATACTTTCTTTTACTCAGGTCTTACTTTCCGAGTCAATCTGAAAATTGTAGCAATTATTTTTCCGAGCCAATTTAAAAAAACTGTAGCAATTATTTTCAATGTATTGTCGTATATTTGAACGATCAAGTACTAATTAAAAATATAATAACTCGTTATAAACTAATAATAATTGATACAATTGTTATGCCAATGTCCCCTTGTGTGAAACATGTTTTCATTATTTTAAAACTAAACAATAACTTCAGTATCATGTAAAACAAAGAAAACTTACAGAAGAAAATTACTGAAAGTGTCAAGTCAACAATGCCATCGACTAGACTCAGTACGGTTCAAAATTGCAAGAAGACTTTATAGGAGATAGCAAAATAAAATTATGCAGAGTTTCCAAAACTCATTTTACATTGGAGGAGATAACCCCTTTAAAAATGGTATACTACTATGTGGAAGAGTGGGAATCATAACAGTATATTGTATATTATTCATGCATGTTGTATTGGTCTTCCAAGATAAAAATCAACATTATTCGAAGTTCTATGATGATGCGCACATGAATTGTAGCAACAGTCACAAGTTTCTCCAACATTGTAAAAGTTCCCTTGAAATAAAAGAGATACAAACGCTGAGATGTTGAATATGAATTGTTTTTTTAGAAGTTTTCCTACTTGCCTTTGCATTGACAAGTAAATAAGCATTTTATTATTATATATTTAAAAAGCTGCAATGTTATAATGAATATTTTACTTTGCTTTGAAGGGTTACAACCTTTTGTTATAGTGACAGAAGCACTTTTTACAAGCATTACATTAAATTATAGTGACCAATTAATTGATCCATAATCTTTACATACAATTCACCTTTTTGTTCTACAGGTTAATAAATGCGGGACTTGGCTGTTAGCACATTCGAAAAAAGATAGTTTAACCTTTCCTTTTATGTAAAATAAATCTTGTGAAATAGAATTTAGAAATATCACTTTGTTGTTCTTCCCTTTTGATACATATAAATACAAAAATAATAGTTTCCCGTGATTATATGAATCCATTCAGAAACATGCTAGTCTTTTTTTATTTTTCGAAGGAAAAGTGCAGGGAGATTGTAGACTATTTAAGTTCCAGAAAAGACAACATGTTTTATCACTCTCTAGATGTGGCGCATTAATATCAAGAAATTCGATCTCATCTTTCCCGAATTGTTAAAGTAGCGCATCCGAATCTTTCCAGCAATGTTGATCAATTGAATCTTACGTGTGAAAAAAATCAAGTATGTTTGCGCAAGTGTGTTGTGTGACTTATTTTTAATAAAAGTATTAATATTAAGAAAGTCGTTTTGAACAGAACAGAAAAAATATCTAAATTCATAAAGTTATCACTAATTTTTTTGTTCACATTCTAGATTTGGTTTTCATAATCCCTGACAACGTACATTTTGTATTTTGAGACAAATTCATGTTCTCTTGTTTAAAGTTTAGAACTGTTTGGTAATAATTGTTCAATTGTGAATGACTGTGAATTTCTATACTTTACATAAACTGCTGATATATATCTGGACAAAAAGTTTTTGTCTGAAAATTTTTCTGTCTGTCATTTTTTGTCTAGTTTATCACCTTGTAATGACTTGAGTGGTTTTTAAAAAACTACATTCATGTGTGGCACATAGATGCCATGTGTCGCATACAAAACATAGGTTTGAAGCTCAAAGGTCTAAATCACACCAAGCAAGGAAATATTTTATGAAAGTTCATTAACGGTCGTGTCGAGTAATCACTTTTGTCATTCATGGATGGATTATATTAGATATAACGTCACCCTGACACTGTTGAGGCGACATGCCGACTTTCCAACTATACTGGTGGAGGGTGACCCGAGATGCCGCTACTAGCATTATTAGTATTTAGACATTCATAAGCTGGCCCGTAAGTAGAATCACCAACTTTCGTACTCTTACTTGGCTGAAGTTAAAACTACAGACCACATTATGATGGCTGACATTTGGCACATTTTTGTATGTTAGTGTTTTTGCGAAAAAAAGGCAAAACTTTTAAGCTACTTTCTTCACTTGGCGATTAAACAACGAAAAGACGCCACACGGAAAAAGGTCAACAAAAAGCATTTCATTTTTTCACTTTGTTTTCTACGGTTTGTTTAGTATCTTTGCATGACGTGGCAAAAGATGAACATGCAAAAACATACCAAATTCTGGAAACAAAGTGATCCCTCGGAAGCATTAATCACAACAAAATAACATAAGAATTGCAGACTCGGTTTGATTGAGTCTGTACATGAGGGATAATGAATAAGTGCAACATCCCTCACGCCCCCTAGCACCGGCTTGAGCGGTACTCAATTCTCAACACTTTATAGTGTTGGCATCAATGATCCCGAAGGACCAGAAAATATAACAACACTGAAGTGAAGTACGGGGCAACTTTTTACGGCTGCCACACGGCACTTGACACCTGCTGTTGTGAAGTACAAAATTCTGGAAACAAAGTGATCCCTCGGAAGCATTAATCACAACAAAATAACATAAGAATTGCAGACTCGGTTTGATTGAGTCTGTACATGAGGGATAATGAATAAGTGCAACATCCCTCACGCCCCTAGCACCGGCTTGAGCGGTACTCAATTCTCAACACTTTATAGTGTTGGCATCAATGATCCCG